AGGTACAATTTTCATACAATAAAGTATACATTGTTAAATCTACCAACTCAATGTGTACATATGTACATAACCACATGCCACCACCCAGATAAAGGTCTAGAACATTCCCAGTACTACAGTAGGCTCCCTCATGCCTCCTCCCCCTTGGTGCTCCTCTCATTGTTCTGATCTCTATCATGATAGTTTAGAACTTCACATGAATGAGATTATACATTATGTATTCATTTGTACCTTACTTCTTTCACACATTATGTGAGATTCATTCATATTTTTGCATGTAGCATTGGCACATTCTTTCTCATTGCTGTAGTATTCCATTGTATGAATATGCCATAATTTATTTCTACTGTTGAGAGACTTTTGATTTGTTTCTAACTTGGGATTATTATGAATAATGCTGTTATGACCATTTTTTAAAATGTTTTTTGGTGAACATAAACACTTATTTCTCTTGGGAGAAATTCTGCTCCTACCCAGGACTAGAATTGCTGTAACATCAGGTATATGGATGGGTGACTTTAGTAAATAGTGTCAAGCAATGTTCCTATTTGGTTGGAGTAACTTAATTTCTACCAGCAATGTATGAGAGTGCTGTTGCCCACATCCTTGTCAATACTTGGTATTGTCAGTCTTTTTATTTTTAGTCATTCTTTTTTTTGAGACAGGGTCTCACTCTGTCACCCAGGCTGGAGTGTAGTAGCACAATTCATCTGCCTCAGCTTCCTGAGTAGCTGGGACTACAGGTATGCACCAACCATGCCTGGCTAATTTTTAAATTTCTTTTTGTAGAGATGAGGTCTCGCTATGTTGCCTAGGCTGGACTCAAACTCCTGACCTCAAACAATTCTCTCAATTTGGCCTCCCAAAGTGCTGGGATTACAGGCACCATGCCTGGCTTATTTTTAGCCATTCTTGTGGGGAAAATATAAACTACCAATATTGAAATCAAGACGAGATAGACTAACAAGTGTTTAAAAAATTGAAATAACCCTTAGATTCCTTTCACCCCCAAACAAAAAAAGGCCAGATGATTTTATAGGTCATTTCTACCAAATTAATATTTATGTGTGTGTGTATGTATGTATGTGTGTGTGTGTGTGTGTGTGTGTGTGTGTGTGTGTCATGCATTGTTCAGAATGCAAAAAAATAGTGAAGATTACCAACTCAGTTTAGTAGATTAGCGTAATTTTGATTCCAAAATCGGATAAAGAGAGTTAACTAAATCTGATAGTGTGCTTTCTTTAAAAATGTATTGTGAGGTCGGGCGTGATGGTTCAAGCCTGTAATCCCAGCAATTTGGGAGGCTGAGGTGAAAGGATTGCCTGACCCAGGGGTTCAAGACCAGCCTGAGCAACTTGGCGAGACCTCATCTCTATAATAAATTAGAAAATTAGCCAGGTGTGGTAGCGTGCACCTGTAGTTCCAGCTACTTGGAAGGCTGAGGTGGAAGGATTGCCTGAGCCTAGCAGGTCGAGTCTGCAGTGGCTATGAGTGTGCCACTGTACTCCAGCTTGGGTGACAGAGTGAGACTCCAACTCAACAAAACAAAACAAAATGTATTGTGAACAGGTGAGTTTCATTCATTTAAGGTAACATCAGAAAATCTGTCAACTTAACTCACTTCATTAATAGACTAAGGGAGAGAATTCTTATAAATACATCAATTGGTAACAAATATTTTTTTCCTGAGGATTATTACCTATTTATGACTAAGGAATAAACAACTCAGAAAACTAAGGAGTAATGTCTAAATTTGGGAAAGAGTATACACCAAGAACCTGGAGCAAATATTATGTTTAATAGAAAAACTAAGTGTACTCTTTTTAAGATGAGAAATAAGACAAGGATGCCCACTACTACCACAGCTGCTGTTTAATCTATTACTGGGTGTTCTGGCAAATTTTTTTTTTTTTTTTTTTGAGTTGGAGTCTCACTCTGTCACCCAGACTGGAGTGCAGTGGCTGCTCCCGGCCCCCGCAGCCTCAACCTGCTGGGTTCTGGCGATCCTTCCACCTCAGCCTTCCACGTAGCTGGAATTACAGGCGCATGCTACCACACCTGGCTAATTTTTGATTTGTTGTAGAGATGAGGTCTTGCCAAGTTGCCCAGGCGGGTCTCGAACCCGCGGGCTCAGGCAATCCACTCACCTCAGCCTCCCAAAAGCATAGGATTACAGGCTGAGCCACCGAGCCCGGCTTTGGCAAATATTAAAAGAAAAAAAGAGGCATTGAAGTTGAAAGAGAGGAGATACAGTGGTCATTATTTGCAGATAATATGATCATCTTTCTCTGCACATTTCTGGAATCCATCTCCAGTGCTAATTAGTTCGGTTTCCAACATGTTTCGCCTAGGTAGTCATAACTGCTCCCTAACTAGTCTCTTAAACTCTGGTCCCGTTCACCCTTCACAGTGCAGAGGAGTCTGTCTTTCCTTCTTCCCCTTCCTCCTTCCCTTACTTCTTTTATTATAAAAGAAGTACACATTCTATAGAAAGTATAGAAAATATAAATCTGCCAGATAAAAACAATTAATGGCATTATTTTAGTTTATTCCCTTCCAGAGTTTTTTCTATACATATACATTTATTCAAAGGGACAGACCAACAACACTCTGAAGGCAGCAACCATGATTGTCTTCTTTACTGCCCAGTGCCTGGCATGTGGTGGCAGCTTCTAAGTAGCATACATTAAGTATCAAACTCATTTGCTGAATAAATTAATGAACAACACTGAATCATTTACATTCCCACCAACAGCGTATGTCTATTTCACTCATATCTTTTTCAAGAATGAGTATTACAATTATTTTAAAGTTTTACCTATCTGATTGGCAAAATGGCATCCCGTTAAGGTTTTAACATTTTCTCTTCTTTGGATATCAGTGAGGCCAAATGCTGACCTGTACATTTCTTCTGTGACTTCCCTAATGTTTCTTTGCCCTTTTAAAAAAGTGGGATATTGTATTAGTCTGCAAATTGTTCTTTGTTAGATCAGATCTCTATCACACCATGTATTGTTTTTCCCACAGTGTCTTTCTAAGGAACCCCTTCAAATCGGGCATACATGCATCTCATGCTAGGAGAGCTCAGAGGATGAGGAAACTCAGTGCTACCCTTAGGGAGCACAAGGAGCTCATAGTCTTGGTGAGGAGAAGGGATGATGACATGCAATTGCCCTTAGGATCAAACCCAAGTTCTTTACCATGGCCCCCAAGGCCTACCTCTGGTCTAAAGTCTTCTTGTTCTTCCCCTTGTCACCTGACACTCCCCACACTGAACTTCTTTCTCTATGTCCCTTCAATATATACAGCTCCTTCCATTTTCGGGACTTTGCATTTGTTTTTCCTCCTCTGAAACACAATTCCTTTCCCGGATACTGCCTCCATTGTTTAAATCCCAGCTCAGAGTTTAACTCCCTAGAGAAACTTTGCCTGACTACATTTATTGTAAAGTAGTCTTCCATCCCATTACTCTATTTTCTTTCTTTCATAGCTCTTGTCACCATCAAAACTTACATTATCAATTTTATTATCTATATGTTTATGCTTAGTGTTTCCCTTCCTCCACCAGGAAATATTTGTATCTCACTCAGCTACTGCATCCCTAGTGTCCAGAACAGTACCTGGCACATACATTTATGTACGGTGATCCCTGTCTTCATGAAAAATGATTTCTTTAACATATATCAAGGGAGATATATATTAAATAAATAATTACACAATTAAGTTTTTTTTTGGTAGAGACAGGGTCTCACCATATTGTCCAGGCTCCTGAGCTCAAGGGATTCTCCTGCCTCAGTCTTCCAAAGTGTTAGGTTTACAGGAGTGAGCCACTGAGCCTGGCACAATTAATTAACTACAAGTAGTGACAACTATTTGAGGCAGAGGCACAAGATCCTCTCCCATAGCTGTCTGCTTCTGGCTTCAAGAACATTCCCTTACCCTGTGGGCAATTTCTACTCCAAGACCTTGGCTTCCTCTGGAAACTTTCTGGAACTCAGTGGATTCACCCAGGAATCAGGTCCCAGGAACAGGGCAAGGTTTGTACCTCCAGGCCTAGTTCGCTCCAAAGTTTTGGAGTCTAGCCAGGCTTGTGGCAGCAGCTATTGTATTCTCTTGTCTTCACCAGGCCAGAACAGGCTACAACATTTATGGCTAACTTGTGCATGTTGTCTGCTACTCTAGTCCTTGCCAGGATCTTTGGCAGATCTTGGTTTGGGGTACGGCCCTCTTAAAGCCTTAACAAGCCCCCCTCCCCCCACTGCCCTCCACGTTGTTAGGCTTTCTGCAGAGGCTGAAGCTGGGAGCTGCTTCCTCTGTCCCCTTTGCCCTTCCTTAGGACCTCCTGTCTCTCTCTTGAAAAGGATCAGCAAGTTTCCTTCCTTGAGGGATACTTCTAGCTGCTCCCTGCTTAAGGCTGTGTTTTGGGCCTCTTTGTAATTCAAACTAGTGCAGCCAGCTCCCGGACTTGTGAAGATCCAGGAAAGCCCTACAATGCCACGGCCCACAGACGCCTCCATCAGAGGAGGTGCAAATGAGGGTCCAGAACTTAGTCCGGCCACCCTGGGAAGCTCCACCTTTATGTCTTCACCTCCAAGCTTCGCACAGTGCCTGGTACATATTAGCACTTAATGACCAGGAACAATTAATATAACCAGTTCACGTAATTATAAAAAGTAAATGTCCAGGCACTGTGCTGATGTTTTACACAGACTTTTGGTATTTCATTTAAGCAGTTACCATTATAATTTACATTTTGCAAATGAGGAAACAGGTTCAGAGAAATTAAGTGACTTCCCAAGGTTACAAAGGTCTGGACACTTTCACTGGCCAAGACGCAACGGACCAGCGTAGAGGAAAAGCTGCGAGCTGATTACCACCCGCAGCGTTGTAAAACTCAGCGCAGCCGGTAGCTTTCGCACCCGGTTGCCAGTCGGCTCCGTTTCCTCCAAGCACAGACCGGAAGTGTTCCTGTCGGCCGCGTTTCGAATGCGCACGACCAGAAGTTTCTGCCCGCGGCTTTGAGGGATTAGGGGAGCGGCGGCGGGGACCGCAGCCCGGGCACCCAGGTGCGGAGGCGCGGGGGATCAGAGGCTGATGGGGCCGTTAAGGGTACCCAAGCGGCGGTACACAGGCAGAACCCCGGCCTGACCTGGACCACCCTCCTCGCGGCCCGCCGCTTGGGTCCGGAGGGGCCCCGCCCTCTGGCCTGAGCCTGGTCCCTCCTCAGGCACTGACCCTTAATCTCAGGTCGCTCCCCCATCTCTCAGGTGCGATGGCTACAGGCGCGGATGTACGGGACATTCTGGAACTCGGGGGTCCAGAGGGGGATGCAGCCTCTGGGACCATAAGCAAGAAGGACATTATCAACCCGGACAAGGTAGCAGGGGCGCCTGAGAGCGTTGGTTGGGGGCATGAAGGAGAGGGGAGAGGTGGCCGCGAAAGTGAGATGGAGGGAATGATGGGGTGCTAAACTTCTAGTGTGATGGGCGATAAAAGGTGTGACATAACGGGACAGACAATGCGTATGTGTCACTCTTGAGAATATGGGACAGAGGAGGTGGGTCTCCATGAGAGACAGTGGGGACCAGGAGGGTGTGACACCTTTAAGAGATGAGAGGACCAAAAGAGTGTGACATTTGTAAGATATTGAGTGGGAAGAGACCAAGACATTATGACAGCCTGAGAGATGGTGGGAGAGGAATGTCCTGCTCAGGCTGTGGGTGCCCCTGTGAATGGGTTTCTGTACCTTTATAGTATGTCATTAGGATGTGCCAGTATTTATGTCGTTGTACCTGTAGGTCCTGGTTTGTTCATGGATTGATCTGGGCTAAAGAATGTTCAGGAAAGAGGGTCTAGCTTGTGGTTCCTTTCTTTGATTTCCTTCCTCAGAAAAAATCCAAGAAGTCCTCTGAGACATTGACTTTCAAGAGGCCGGAGGGCATGCACCGGGAGGTCTATGCGCTGCTCTACTCTGACAAGAAGCAAGTATTGGAAAATCGAGTCCCCCAGGCTCTGGCCCCTGACTCCCCTGCCATGTCCCTAACTCCTAGTTTTCTCTTCCAATTATTTCCTCCCCTCCCCTTTGTAGTCAGGGCTTCTGCTTGCTTAGTGGGATGCAGGAGGAGTGTAGATCTTTTGCTCCAGGACATAACTTTCTCTCTCTAGGGTAGATTGGCATCCTGGGTCCAGATGCTGTCTCACACATCTTCTGATTCTAAACCTCCCATCTTCCCAAACCCCACTGCCAGGGATGCACCCCCACTGCTACCCAGTGACACTGGTCAGGGCTATCGCACAGTGAAGGCCAAGTTGGGCTCCAAGAAGGTGCGGCCTTGGAAATGGATGCCATTCACCAACCCAGCCCGCAAGGATGGAGCTATGTTCTTCCACTGGCGACGGGCAGCAGAGGAGGGCAAGGACTATCCCTTTGCCAGGTTCAATAAGGTGAGCTGCCTCCATTCAGACACAGACTAAGATTGTCCACCCACTCTGAGCCCCTTGTGCATGCTCTCCAGTCTCTAGGGTTGGCTCCAGATGCTTGCTCAGGCCCAACCATGGCTCCCCACTCCGTCCTCATGGCAGATGCTCACAGAGTGGGACTCTGGGTCTTTTCTGCCCATGGGATCCTGTTCTTCCCTGCACATGCTCTTGTTTCTCATGACTTTTTTTGGCCTTTCAAATGTTACTGTTCCTCAGAACTATAATCCTAGGTGCTCTGCTCTTCTCGCTTTGTCCTTTCTCCCTTGTGTGGCTCATTTATCCTGTGACTTTGGTCACCCTGTCTATGCCAGTGACTTCAACTTATTATCTCCAGTCCAGAGCAATGGTTCCCACATAGCCAGTCCTTCACTAGTGTTTCTTCCTGAATGTCCCACAGGTACTTCCCATCCAGTAGGTATTCTTGAACAGAAGTCATCGTCTTCCCTCTATTTCCCAGCCCAGTTCTGCCCCCTGTCTCAGTGAATGGCATCATTATCCACTCAGTTTGCCCAAACCAGAAACTTGGGAGCCATCCTTAATTTAGCCTTCTGCCTTCAGTATTAATTCAGTATTTCAATCAGCAACAGGACAAAGAAAGTAGGGGAAGACAGACAACAAACATGTAAGGAAATAAAGCAAATTGTAGTCTTTCAGATAAGAGCCATTGATACATTGACACCAGGACATGAATAGATATGAAATGAGGTAAAGAGTGAACTTGTAGGTGTAGGGAGGCCTACTTTAGATAGGGTGGTCAGGGAGGGCCTTTCTAACAAAGTGGCATTTGAGCTAGACTTCAGTAATACATCTAATTATTGAACCCTGCTGATTCGCTTTCCATAATGAATCACATTTCTGCCTATATTCTTCATCTCCTATGCCAGCCCCCTGTTCCAAGCTGCATCATCTCTGGTCTAGATGACTGAGGCTCAGTGGTACAGGGCCTTACCCAGACTTACCGAGCCAGTGAGAGGCAGAGTTAGTCTGGGCTTGGATTCCCTGGCCCATTACTCAAGCCACTGTGCAGTGTTACTTGCAGCTGCTTGCAGCCTGGAAAACCTAGACTTAGACCTTAAAAGCAGTAGAGGATCAAACCCAGGACTCCGAGACCCAATTTCTCAGCCCACTATATCCAACTGTATCTGGATACTTCCCCCTGTGTAGCTCACAGGCTTCTCAGCTGGGCAAAGCCAAATGTGAGCACCTCATTCTCCCCTGCCCAAACATGGTTTTCTTCATCTCATCTTCATTCGTAGGGCCCTTAGGTCCAGTGGAGGGAGAGGCTAGAGATGTAAGACTGAGAAGGGACAACCAAAAGGTGAGATGTCTGAGGCAATGGGAGGGAAGGCTGGATGAGACAAGTTGAGGTGCTCCAAGCCAAGTCAAGACCTAGGCCCTGGGAACTCAAACTGAATGAGACACAATGTCTGTCCTCCAAAAACTCTCCATGTTGTTAGGGAAGGGGTTGGGGGAGATACAGGCAATTATGATCTGATGGGATACGTGCGTTCTGGGAGGACCTGCAGGTCATGGAAGCTTCTTGGAATAGAGTTGAGTCTTGAAGGAGGTCACCAACTGGTATTAGGAAAGGAGTGCAGTGACTTTTTCAGGCAGAGGGAGCAGGATGGGCAAGGGCATAAATAAGAAATTTTAAAAGGTCATATGTGTGGGATGCCATGGGCATTTCCATACTGATGAAGCCTAAGGCAAGGTAGGGCATGGTAGGAAGTGCGGCCTGAGAGGTCAGCAGGGGTCGGGACAGGCAGGGCCTTGGCATCCAGGCTCAGGAATTTGGGCTTTGTCCTGATGTCTTTGGGTAGCTGCTGACAGATTTTAAGCAGTAATGTCAGGATCAGATTTGAGTTTTAAAAGGTCATGGTGACTGTGGGGTGGAGAGTGAAGTTGGAATAAAATGAATTCATGATCTTCCTCTCCAGGACTGTTCATTCTGGGGGTCCCACTCTCAGTGGCTCCTTGTTCACTCTCTTGCTCAGGCCAGAAACAGCAGTCACCTGTGATAGCATCATCACTCACCCTTCACAGCCAAGTCCTGTGGTTTCGGCCCTAATGCCTCTCAGGTGTCCCCCTTTCTCTGTCTTCCACTGTGCTGCTTTAGTTCAGGCCTTCCCCCCTCTTACTTATTTCTGAAATCTGCTAGCTGCTGGCTCAGACTCTTGTTTCACTCCTCCATCTTTACTGCTGCCAGAGGTCTTTGTTAAAGAGAAACATAACCTACTTGACTCCTCAAAACAAACCTTGTTGGCTGCCATCACCCTCAACATGATTTCTGGACTTCTTTGCAGAAAAGGCCTTTTCATGCCTTTTCCTGTCCTGTCCTTTACTCGTTTCCCCAGTTGTCCTTGACTACCCAATCCACATACCCCAGGCTGTTTTCCCTTCATGGCTGTGTTTGTACTGCCCCTTCTGCCCAGACCTCTCTCCCCCATTTTCCCTCACTAGTTTACTCCCGCTTAACCCTAAGTCTGAACCAGACCTCTATCACCTCCTCTCTGACCAACCCTTGTCCCCAGGCTGCATCAGGTGTCATGTGCTACACCTTCGGCATACTTCTGTCAAACTTGCCACCCTACAACAAAATTATTTTTTCAGCTGGAGTGTGTGAGACACAGACCCCTGCCTATCGTATGCAGCACTGTGTGCCCTGCATATGTGTTGCAGGCCCATGATAAATATTTGTTGGATGGAACAGTGTTTTCCGAGGTTGACTCTGAGCTGCTTGAGAGCAGGACTGGCTACATCATTTCTGAACTTTTTTTTTAGTTAAGTAGGATTAAAATGCATCAGAGGAATACTTAACCAGGTCTGGGAAACCAGAAAGACTCCCCAGAAGAGACGATGCCTGAAAGAGATCAAAAGGATGAGAAAGTTATTTGGGTAGAAGGAACATAGAAGTGGGAAGGCATTTCAGACAAGAACAAAGGCTGAGGAGGAGCCTGTTATGTTCTAGAAACTGCAAGTCACTTGGCTGAAACTTACTGTCCATGAGGGACAGTGGCTACAGGAGGAGACCAGATCATTTATTTATGTGTTTACTGATTGAGTCAGTAGATACTAATACTTTTAGTGTGATAAGCCCTAAAGGTAGGAAATGAACTGGACAACCCTTGCTTTTGAGGAGTTTGTGAGTTTTCTAGAAAGCTCTTTATCTTGAATGTGGAAGTCTGAGAGGTTTAATAAGGGATGGTTGGGTGACATGATAAGATATACATTTAGAATGCTAGAACAGTATGGCTTAAATTATCTGTGGTAAGGGAAGTTTTTCTATTTTCTTTTCTTTGAGTTGAAGTCTCTCTCTGCTGCCCAGACTGGAGTGCAGTGGCACACTCATGGCCATCCCAGCATCAACCTGCTGGGCTCAGGCAATCCTCCCACCTCAGTCTTCCAAGTAGTTGGGACTACAGGTGTGCGCTACCATACTCGGCTAATTTTTGATTTGTTGTAGAGATGAGGTCTCGCCACCTTGCCCAGGCTGGTCTCGAACCCATGGACTCAGGCAATCCACTCATCTTGGCCTCCCAAAGTGCTGAGATTACAGGCTGAGCCACTGAGCCCAGCCTGTTTTATTTTCAACCCATGAGACTGATAAAGATAATTCTACGAAAAGACAAAACACAAGTCTATGTTTCTTCATATTAGATTCAGCAGCATTCAACTAATATAAAATTGTTATTAATGTTTTTCAATGCCTACTCTCAATTTCCATTCTTATCATGGACCAGTGATAACTGTTTGAAAACAGCACTGTTCAAAGAGATCAAATCTCGGCTGCAGACAGAGATTGGAGGGGAATTGGATGAAGGCAGAGAGACCAGTAGGGAGGGTTACTTCTGTAATCCAGGCAAGTGACAGTGGTGTCTGGATTGGGATGTAGCAATGGAGATAGACATTTTGGAGATCAAAGTCATAGGTTTGGTGAAGGGGAGAAGTCAAGGAGAAAGATGGAAATTAAAGATACTTCCTGCATTTCTGGCTTGGGCAACTGGGTTGGGTAATGGTGTCACTGGCTGAGATCTAGACTGGAGGAGATGTAAGTTTGAGGGAGGGTGATGAGTTCAGTACTGAGCATGTTAAGTTTGAGGTGTGTGTGGCCCCTTCAATAGGAGACGTCTGAGAGGCAACTGGAAATACAGGTCTTGAGAGTGGGTTCAACGCTGGTTGGGGTCTTTAACAGAGAAGAGAAACTTCCCTGGTCCAGTCTAGCATTGATCCCTTCCTTGAGTCTCTGACTCACAGATCCAACTGGTGCTGCTATCTCGGGGGAGGCCTGGGGGAGAGGGAAGGAAGAGGCATTGGCAGGGTTGCATACATTGGGAATAGGATTCAGATCCTGTTTGTGTAGAGATGCCTGACCTGGGCAAGCTCTGGGGCAGCTGCAAGTCCCACTGTGACCACTGGGTGGCAGTAGTGCTTCAGATAAGAGTTGCATGGACTTGGGGCTCGTGGGCTTTTCTCCAGGTATTTGGCCTTGTGCCCTACACCAAAGTTGACCTTTGGACGTCACAGAAGTGCTTACATGTGGGCCCTTCACTTTAGCCATGGGGACAGGAGCATGTGTCCCCTTATTAAGACTTGAACTGGAGACATGGTGAAGTTGCTCCTGGAGGGGTCAGAGACAGGCTGTAGTCTCAAAGCTTGCTACAGCCTCTAGCCAAGCTGACAGTTACTTTCTTTAGCCCAGGCTGCCTTCTGCAGGGGCACAGGCAGAGGATTTGCTTTTTTTCAGGGCTGAGGATTGGCAATAAACAGGAGCTGTGGTCATAGGGGGCTGGAGCCTGCTGAACATGACATGACATGATGTGGGTGTATCCTTACTGTGTCCCTCTGTACCAGCAGACTGTGCAGGTGCCCGTGTATTCGGAGCAGGAGTACCAGCTCTATCTCCACGACGATGCTTGGACGAAGGCAGAGACTGACCACCTCTTTGACCTCAGCCGCCGCTTTGACCTGCGTTTTGTAGTTATCCATGACCGATATGACCACCAGCAGTTCAAGGTGAGCTTGTCACTTGCACGTGTGCCCAGCCCTGGGCATGGCAGGCCCTACCTTCATGCCATCCCTTCCGCGTGCCCCTGGGTGTTCATCCCCCTTCCTGCCTCGATCCTCAGAAGCGCTCTGTGGAAGACCTGAAGGAGCGCTACTACCACATCTGTGCTAAGCTTGCCAATGTGCGCGCTGTGCCGGGCACAGACCTCAAGGTACCAGTATTTGATGCTGGGCACGAGCGACGGCGGAAAGAACAGCTAGAGCGTCTCTACAACCGGACCCCAGAGCAGGTCAGCCTCAAGCCTTCCATACCTGTGTGCCCCAGACCCCGGGCCCATTGCCTTCCTCCTCCATTCCCTCGACTCCCTCACTCCCAAGGTCCCACGTCACCCACCCCCAGCTCCCTCGACTGCCTCTTGCGGGCTGTCCCCCCTCCACGGCCCTTTACCCCTCATGATCTCCTACCTCTCAGGTTCCCTCCTAGACAGCCCAGCACCGTCACCTGCCTGTGTCCCCTCACTTTGGCATGTGCCCTCACACACTTGGCATCTCACTTCCCCAGGTGGCAGAGGAGGAATACCTGCTCCAGGAGTTGCGCAAGATCGAGGCCCGGAAGAAGGAGCGGGAGAAACGCAGCCAGGACCTGCAGAAGTTGATCACAGCAGCAGACACCACGGCAGAGCAGCGGCGCACAGAACGCAAGGCCCCCAAGAAGAAGCTTCCTCAGAAAAAGGAAGCTGAGAAGCCGGTGAGGAGGCTAAGCTAGCCCGACTCAAGGTAGAGGCGTTACCTGGCACAGAGCCCCTCCCAGAGCTGGCAGGTGCTGGGACTCACCCTGGGCCCACTCCCTGCACCATTTTGGTCTCCATAACGCCTTCTCTCCTAGGCTGTTCCTGAGACTGCAGGCATCAAGTTTCCAGACTTCAAGTCCGCAGGTGTCACGCTGCGGAGCCAGCGGGTATGAGAGTCACCTCCTTTAGCGTGTTTGCGCCCTGGTCTCTCTGTTCTGGGCAGCTCGGGCTGGAGCGGTGGGAGAGGTTGCTGAGACAGAAGCGGCTTCCCCAGAATCTCAGGAGGATTTGGCCAGGCCAGGGTCACAGCTTTCACTATGTCACTCTTCCGGGCCATTTCCTTTTCTGGTGCATAGCTACCTCTGTGGGCCGCCTTCTCTTTCCCACCCCATCCCTCCTCTCTTTAGTCCCCTTCCTCCTAAGCCTCTTGTGGGGGACAAGGCTTAGCTGCCCGGGTTGTTGCAGATGAAGCTGCCAAGCTCTGTGGGACAGAAGAAGATCAAGGCCCTGGAACAGATGCTGCTGGAGCTTGGTGTGGGTGAGTATGGGGACTGGGCCCACACTAGTGTGTACCCAGCTAGGGTTGTGGATGAAGGCTGGGCAGGGGGAGGACAGCTCATGTGGCTGGCTTTCTGCCACACTCTGGCTCTGCCGCTGTGCTCCTGCCACCTGCCTGCAGAGCTGAGCCCAACACCCACGGAGGAGCTGGTACACATGTTCAACGAGCTGCGAAGCGACCTGGTGCTGCTCTATGAGCTCAAGCAGGCCTGTGCCAACTGCGAGTATGAGCTGCAGATGCTGCGGCACCGCCACGAGGCACTGGCCCGGGCTGGTGTGCTGGGGGGCCCTGCCACGCCAGCATCGGGCCCAGCACCAGCCTCTGCTGAGCCAGCAGTGCCTGAACCTGGACTTGGCCCTGACCCCACCAAGGACACCATCATCGATGTGGTGGGAGCACCCCTCACACCCAATTCGGTAAGAGCCTGGACAGGCTAGGAGAGCATGCCCTGACCCTGCAAGTAAGCACACGCCCACGAGTTTCCAGTTTCCGCTCCCCCTCATGCTTTCGGCAGGAGTGATCGCCTTAGCAAGGCTCTGAGACTGAGGGTGGAAGTGGGTTGATCCAAGGGCCTCTTCTTCCTGGAGGGTGTGACACACATGCACCAAGCCTGACCAAGCCTTCAGGGCCACTGAGCTCAGCCCTTTCTGTGTCTCCTCAGAGGAAGCGGCGAGAATCAGCCTCCAGCTCATCTTCTGTGAAGAAAGCCAAGAAGCCGTGAGAGGCCACTTGGGGTGTGGGCGATACTGTTGTGTAAATAGAACTGCTGAGTTGGACTGGGCTGCTTCCTTTTCCTTTCCACACTTCTGTTGCCCGTTGGGAGGGGTTGGCCAGGAGGGGGTCACCACACCACAAGAGTGGCAGGTGGGCTTGCCCACGTTCAGGCCCTTAGCAGCCACTTCCATTGCCCACTACCAATTTTGTCCAGACCCCTGCATACTGAAACATCTGTGGTTTGCACAGCAGCGGTCTCAGATACCAGCAGCTTTGAGCACAGCCTCACACTCAGATAGTCCGCACATCCCTGCAGACTTGTGCATATTCAGTGAGGGTGTCATAGGCGCTACAGTGGCAGCCAGTCACACACTGATGGCCATGCACACAGAGGCAGCCTGAAGCACATACTGCCTGCCTCACATCCCGACAGCAGTGGGCACAGCAACAGCCTTACACACACAGGTGGCTTTGCACACACACCCAGGGCCTCATTTCCCCAACTTTATTCAGTGGCACGTTCACAGCGGGGATGGGGGTAGACACGAGGTGGGGCCTGATCTGTCCTGGAGCCCTGGGGGCACCACACGCCATGCACTATGGATGGGAGGGGGCACGGGGGGGATTGGTGGCCCCAGCAGAAGCCTGTGCACCAGGGAGGAGGCGGTGAGTGCCTGGGTCCCCCTGGCCCAGGCCCACAACGGAAGGGGCTGATAGTCGGTGAGGATGGGGGGCACAAAGTGTCTGCTCCAGAGGGGCCAAGTGGCCAAGCCCTTGCCCAGGGCACAAGCTCGCAGGGCAGCTGGGGGACACTCTGGATGCAGAGCTGGGCCACTATTCCTTTTCCCCTCTGATGAGGGAGAGGAAGATTCTGGGCTGGGCAAGCAGCTACTCTGTCCTGCCCCATCCTGTCCTCAGCCAATCAGAATGGCTTCGATGTCTGCTTGAAGATGAAGCCTCCATATGCAAGTGTCTTCATGATGTTGGCAATGTTCTTGCAGTCATCTAAAAAGAAGAAGACACATTTAGACAAGCCCCAGACCCTTCCCCTCCATGCCTGCAGGTGCTCTACAAGGGTGGGGGTGGGAAGCAGGGTCAAATTCAGGAGCTACAGGCTCTAGAGAGGGAGGACCTGTCCCCTGGTGGCAGCATCTCCATCTTCACGTGGGGCTGGGTGATGCTGGGCCGGCAGGAAGCCTGGTCTCAGTGCTTCTCAGTCCCATAACTCATGCTGGAAATTGGCCGGCGTGTCCCGCCCCGGCCCCAGTGGTGATGTATGGGCGCCGTCGCAGTAAGAAAAAGGCAGAGTAAATGTGTAATTTCTCCCTTGACGGCCCCCGGCCGCTGGGCGATCCTTCTTGTTGCCGCCGCATGGGGACGGCCCGTCCGCCACACTCCGTCTTCCCGCCACCCGCCTTGATGTCTCCATTTCATTACAGTGTGACCATTCATCACGCCCACGGCCAGGGTGACTTTGCCGGCACTTTCGTGTATGTGGGAGATGTGACCCAGGCCATGATCACTGGTGACAAGGCACAAGGCTCGGCACTGCTGGACCAGGGCCTGGGAAACATACCTGCCTTGTTCTCCAGGTTGTGTGCTCAAACAGCAATTTGCCTGGGCACATGTTCCTGTGCAGCCTGATAGGTTGAGGAGAGTCCAGATTCGTGGTCCCCTCACAGCCTTGGCCATCAGCCCTCTGCCAGACATGTCTGTACAGCTCAAGCCCTCCCTCTGTCCCAGGAGGTTCAGTGTGGGTGCTGGTCACCTTGGGCCCTGTCTCTGCCCATACCTCAGTAAAATATGTCTGCATCTGCCAGATCCTATCACAGCCAGATTCTCCAGCATTGGATGCTTTCAAATGTCCTAGAGCCCTGAGGGCTGCAGGATGGGGCCCTGTGGGGCCTCAGTATTGTGGACGTGGGCCAGGACTTGTTCTACCACCACCAGCAGGAAGTGCAGCCGGCCAGAGCTTATCTCACTAGAGGAAGCCCAGGAGAGAAACAGCCTGAGTTTTTCTGTTCAGCCACCCAGAGCAGCTGTCAACTTGCCATCCCCTCACCTGCATCTCCTACCCCTCTCCACTCCCCTTAGATGCTCCTGGGCCATAACCAGGGCCTCAGCCACCACAGCCCTCGTGGGATCGATGCTATGACTGCAGAAATATTGTACATCAATGGATCAAGCGTGGGGGGTAGTAAGGTCAAGGTGGGGTCAGGAGGCCTCTGTGTCTGCAAGGACCACCCTTGCCAGGACCTTAGCTTAGGGAAAAGGACCCCCCTCCAGTGCTAGAAGAGGGCTGCGTGAGGGGGTAGAGTCCCTGATGAGTCCAGGGCCTATGTCGCTAGCTAGACACCAGCTCTGCAAAGTGTAGGGCAGGCAAGTCAGACAACTTGTCAGGGTCCTGCCTCACAGAGCTCAGCATGGATGTACCTGTGGTGGATGTGGGTGTGGAGAGGTGACACCTTGTTCCCCCAGGTACTCGGGAAGCCATGAGCTTCCTGGTCTGAGGCAGAATGGTGGGAAGACAGATGGGTGGGTAGTGGCGGCCATGGCAACTCCAGACGTGACCCATCCCCGTGGTTTATGGGCCGGACACGCGCCCCGCTCAGCTGAGGCCCCGTCATTTGTCTCCCTTAGTGTGTACGCCAGTGCTGTGGGGGTAGAGGGTGGAGGAGGGAGGGGGCTACGACAGGAGGAGCTAGGCAGTTGACTGGAAGGGGAATGGGACAGGAAGGGGCCTGGGAGGGGGAGGGGTTATTCTAGGGCCCAGGGGCTATGATGGTGCTGTTGGAGGGGCTATGATAGGGTGATTTTCTTCCCGAATAAGACTAGCCTTGTCAGGGCACCTCCAATCTTTCCTGTCTCCTGCACTCTGGGGACCATGGCCACTGTGCATATTAAGAATAAGTCCCCTCGTTATCTGCAATTACCCAGCGGCCACACACCTCATTTCTTCTAGCAGAAAAGAAAATTAGTTTTCTATTGACTTCATCTGGCTCCTCCCTCATTGCTGGACAAACCGTTCAATCTGCCTCTCCTGGCCCAAGTGAATGTCCCAGACCCAACCCACAGGTCACTAGCCATCCAGTGGGCAAACACTGTGCCTGGCCCTGTGCTGAGAGAGGGTCCACGTGTCCCAGCCTCTGTCCTAGATGTCTCCCCACTCCTCACACTGGATGACATCACCCAAATCCTCAGCTTCAGCTACCCCTGTGGATCACCATCTCCAGCCTGGATCTCTCTCCTGGGCTCCACACCACATATTCAGTCTCTTGAATATCTCTTTCTAGATATATAAACTCAGAATGTCCAATAATGAGCTAGTTTTCTCCCCCAAGCGGCTTCTTACGGCTGTGATCTCCACCCATGGAGTGGCACCACACCCATCCAAAATGCCTGAAGAGACCCAAGGGTCATGTTACCACCTTGTCCTCTCCCTCACTCCCAAATCCAATGAGTATGCATTTGTGCAGATTTCCTCTTATTCTCAGTTTAACCACCTACTTCCCTTCATCTCAGCAGCCAGCCACCTGACTAGTCCAGACCCTATCACCTGTAGCTTGGATTATTACAACAGCCAGTCCTATCTTTCTCCCTTGAACCCACTCTCTTGTAGCCTGTGATCTTTTTTACACATATCTGATCATGTTCTTCCCTTTTCAAATCCCTTCAGTGGCCCTCTTTGCCCTCAGTTTAAATATGTCTTAAGGTGCTCCAAAAATTGAGCCCTGCTATGTCTGGTCTCTGCCACTCTCTACCCCCAATCTCTGTACTCCAGTCTCATAGAAGCACTCACCGTTTTCCGAAAATGACAAAGTGGGTTTTGGAATCAGACAGACACATTTCCAGCCTCGACTAAACCCACTGGCTGCATAACATGCAGCAAGTGCTTAGCTTCTCTAAACTTCAGGTCCCTCTCCTGGGTGATAACAGCCTCAGCATTATTTTGAGGATGGAACAACGCGTTGCACTCACGCCTTTGCACATTCTGTATGATTGGAACACCTCTTTTCTTCCTGAAGAGAAGGCAAGGATGCTAGTTTCTGAATGCTCCAATGGTGAGAAAGTATACATTATACAATCTATGGCTTAGAGGATAGATAGGGCCGGCACACTAGGTGAAACCAATTGGCATTCTCTCTATAAACTCCAAATCCTGTCCCTGTTTACTGGGGATTCTGAAGTCTAGCTTATTTCAGTTGGTCCAATACAATAAGAGAGACCCAGAGAGAGGAAGAAACCTGCTCCAGTTCACCTAGCACATCAGTGAAATGGCAGTATTGGGTTTCTAGCATAAAGCTCTTTTTTCAGCCCTTGAAGCCTTGATACGATGCAAACTACTGACTAGTTAAAAAAAAAGTTAATGGTACAATGAGAAAATGAGAAAACGTGGCAGAAGAAGCACCAGAGGCAGCTCTGGGGCCTTTAACAGGCCAAAAGCTCAGGGAAAACAGTAGTGTCAGTATGGTGAAGCACCAGAGCCCTCTGCTTGAAGCTCTGGGGCCACTTGGGTTAGCAGCCTCATCTTCTGGCACCTCTTGCTAAGCTGATGATGCCAGCATAAAGCTGTCATGGGGTGAGAGTAGGGGTGCAGGGAGCATAACCATGTCCCCCCAGTAGAGGACTCCAAGAGTAGGCCTTCCTCACCTTTAAATTCTAGAAGTCTAAACTGTTTTTATGTTCCTGCAGGATTATCAAGTTGTGACAAGGTGACTCCTTTATCTTCTTTTTGGGAACATTAATATTCTTCATGTTAGAAATACTCTTACACTGCCAAGACCATAATGGGATGGTACAGCTGCATTGATCCTGCACAGAAGAAATGAGTGGGATTAAGCACCTAACAAGGAAGGTTAAGTTCGTTGGCTGGGCCCAAGGGCAGTCAAATGCCTGCTTGGCAAAGAGGCTGTTCATAGAAGTGCAGCTCAGATGCTTAGGACACCCAGTGAGAGCTCACACTGGCAAACAACCTGAGGCTGATATGCTCCAGTTATCTGCAGTTGACTGGGCCAGGGCCTGGGCCAGGGCCTGGGCCAGGGAGACCCTCAGGAGCAAAAGGGCCCAAGAAACTCTTGAAGGGCTGTTCATTCATGCACTCATTCATTCGGCAAACATGCACTGATATCTTCTGTGTGCTTGGTGCTCACGGGCCATGCTGGGTTTCAGGGATGTGCAAGACTCTGTAGCTCCCTGCCCTCAAGGAGCTCAGAGACAGTCCTGTCAGGGGTGCAGGGCTAGGAGAAAAGGTACTGAAGAGTCACCTAGTTCTGTCTGAGGAACAGAAAAGGTTTTCTGGAAGAATAAAATTAAGCAGAGATCTTAGCACATGGGAGAAGGAGCTAGCCTGGCAAGTTGGGGCTGAGGTGAGGAAGGTATTCTCAGCATAATGAACTATATAGGTACATTTCTGGTGGTAAAATGTGGAGTGTTCATAAAAAGCTTTACCAGGTGTGTAAATAACGAAGAATAAGAAGCAAAGAAATGGCCAGCAATGAAGTTGGTAGAGTCAGTGACTGTCTATAGGAAATCCTGAGGAACCCAACTGCTAAGCTAAGAAGCTTAAGAGTTTATTATTCTGGGAATAATGTACAGATGGTATTAACAAGTTCCAGGAGGATAGTGACAGGACCAGACCTCTGTTTCAGAATTAATATCCTAGATGCAAAGATAGGACTGGAGGGGTTAACCCAGAAGACAGGGAGATCCCTAGCAGATTGTACTATGATCCAGCCCAGAAATGATGTCCAGAGCTAGGCTAGTGGCAGTGGAGATGGAGGTAGAGGTGTACAGATGATGTGGAGATGCAGATGGAGCCAAGAGTTTTGTTGTTGCTGTTATTTTTGAGTTAGAGTCTCACTTCTGTCTTGGGCTGGAGTACAGTGGCATGATAAGAGCTCACTGCAGCCTTGACCTTCTGGGCTCAGGTGATCCTTTGGCTTCAGCATCCTGAGTAGCTAGGAATACAGGCACATGCAATGCCTGGCTTATTTATTTATTTATTA